CTTGATTATATGCCCAGAGCTGAAAGCCAGCTCTGAGGTTAAGACTCTGCTGAGCTTTGGGGTCATGTGCAGCTGTAATCCTTTAGGAAACCAGCTCTGACAGAAGTGTCAGCTCCTCGGGTGCCCTGCAGGCTTTTAAACCTGTGTCTCTGTTTTCTACTCTGCGTGTTGCTGAAACGAGAAGAAAGCAGCAGATGGGAAATGCAATACATCATTCCCAAATACATCTTTGTTCAGGAAGTAACAATTTCACTTGTGATGTCAGGTAACCAAACAAGTAGTCCTGCTGAATGTGGTATCATTACTGAAAGACTGTTTTCAAAAATAACATTTTCTTTTTATTACTGGACACAGTCTATGCAGCTTCCACTCTGGAAGTTTCAATACTTCAAAGATTTTTGGCAAAAAAAGCCTCGGAAATTGTTTTCTTCCACAAATAAGCTGTTTCCAAGGCAATTTCATTCAAGTTAATTTGTCAGCATTTTAGTTTAATTGGTCTATTAAATAATAACAACCTAAGCATTTTTATTTTCTGTATTTTATTGTGTGCATTGTTATTTCTGTATTTTCTGTTTATTTGAAGTAATAGTGGTTGGGCTACCCAGCAGTGTCTGTGTATTATATATTGTACTATTAATCATCTGGCAATCATTTGTCTAGAGGCTGCAGAGATAAGAATTGCTGAATTGGCTATCTCAAATGGGGCTATTATGGTCTCCATTTGGTGAACAGGGCTTGTAACTGTATTCCAAGGACTGTATAGCAGTGGGAGAAAAAGCTTTCTCATAGGCTTAAGCAAAGACATTTTCTCAAAGCACTTGGACATTAGACTTTGAAATGTAGCTGGTAAGACCCTTTATATTCCTGCATCAGAGCTACCTGGATATTTTTGTGAGAAGAGGTGAATGAGCTGTTTCACTTTGCCTTAGAGCCATGCAGAGAAAACTTGACGAACTCTGATTATGAGACTTGGGTAATACCATCTGGGAGAAATGCCTTTGAAAACAGGGCAGCCGGATTGTCAAGCTCTGCTTCTATCCTCTTTAAATCCTCTGTGCAACCTCCATGGATGCTGGAAGGGCTGACGGGAGCGGGGTGAAGCAGTGCCCTGCCCCTGGGTTGGAGCAGGGCCTGGAGTCTGCTCTGCAGCACGGGCTTGCTGCGACATGGAGCGTGCAAGGAGCATTCCTGCAAGGAGCATCCCACTGAGCACACAAGGAGCATTCCTGCTTGTGCTCAGGCGTGGGCAGATGCCACTGAGCACACACGGAGCATTCCTGCTTGTTCTCAAGCATGGGGAAATGCTACCATGCATGCAAGGAGCATTCCTACTGTGCTCAAGCATGGGAGATGCCGCCGAGCATGCAAGGAGCATTCCTACTGTGCTCAAGCACGGGGAGATGTGATTGTCAAGACACTGAGAAGATGTGAGTGGGGATGAAGCAGGTCTGGGCAGAGCAGGGCTGGCGCTGCGGCTGCCCCTCACAGCCACCACCATCCCCGTGGCCCCGCAACTGCCAGGCGCATGGGGGAGCTGTGAGGATGAGGCACCTGGTCTAYGGATGGGTGGCATTAGGAAAGGCTAAGCTGGCACCCGTGCCAGCTGCCGGCTGTGAAGCCATGGGGGCGGCAGCCCTGCTGCTGGGGACGTGTCTGCAGTGGTGACGGGGGTGTTTGGGGAAGTGGCATTAGCTGCTTAATGGACAGGGCATGCTAACGGCATATTGTTTTCTGCTCCCTCACCTGATGCCACACTAGGGCCTCTTTACAACTCCGTGACCATTTAGATGATCCTTAAAGTGACTGAAACTGTATAAATCTGTAATTTATACCTCCTTTATGGGCCCTTCATGCTGCCAAGGTTGTGTAAAGCAACTTCGACATAACTGGCTTTAAGAAACCTGACTGAGTTCCTGAAGCTGAATGGATTACGACACATCAGCTGAGCTTCAGGAATCGGCCACGTGAACCTTTACCAGTTGTGTAAGTTGACTCATTTCGACCTATTTCACTGTGGCCCAAGCTGAGCTAAATTATTCTGTTTGCAGACAATATTGCAGATATGGACATCTGTTATGGCTCAGTTAACATGCGGGGTCGTGTCGAACTCGACCCTGTGGCTGAGCTCCAAGAACAAGCACCACCGTGTCCAAGCTGGCCATCAGTGAGAGGTTAATATCTGGGATCTTTCTTCTCTGTGCAATTCAGTCATCAGCTGCTTATTTTTGTAGCAACACGGCACTAAAAATAGTTTATGGCAGTGCTGTAAGGAGGAAATGTGGAGAATGACCATGCTGATAAACACCCTTCAACACCCATTACCATGAAGAGCACTAAAGCCTAAGTGACAGCCTAGAAAGAAAGAAGTGTCATCTTTGATTCATGCTGCTGTTGAATTAAGCAGTGTAATCACTGTCGAATCGATCATTAGCAGCTGTAAACAGCCGGTTCGTTAGGTGGCCTTCCTAAGGCAAAGCCATGGACCATTAACATGTTACACGTTGGGCTGTTAACAGCAATAATAATCAAGTCAACACTATCAGGAGAATTACCAATAATAAAGACCAATTTCTAACCTTATGAGATGTAAAGCAGGATCACAGTATCAGAATAAATCAAGAGTAGTTCTTTCAAGCGCAAGGAAATCACTGCATTGTAATAACATTTTTGGAAATTGGAGACTTTGAGCGTTTTAAACTGTTCAGACAGCATATTTTTGGAGAATATCCTGAAGCACACAGAAGTATCAACTCTTTAAAATCACCATTTTATTGGAAAGGGTGTAGGTCTTTGGAGGGCTAAGAGATATGTCGTAGTATGACTGGCAAGTTACCCTTATTCTAAAAACAGGGAAACAATTCCCTTTGCATGATTTAAAGTTAAAAACAACTGCTACTGTGGTGGTTTTTTTGATTTGTGGGGAGTTTTGGGGGGGTTTTTTTGGTGTGTGGTTTTTTTTTTTTTTTTTTTTTGAGAGAGCATCATTGCTGGATATGCACTTTAGATTACAGGAGCATTATCTAGGACAAAAAATAGATGATTTATTAAAGCAAAAGCCAACCTAGTTGTGGAAAAGCTGAGGATTTCCAACAATGACTCCTTTTCTGATTGCTTAGCTTCTAGACTACAGATAACTAAATATCCACAAGAGGGGATGACAATACCAGGTTTTTATCTTATTCATTTTAAACAATTTTAATCTCTTGATAGATATGCCTGTGTCTTGTTTTTCACATGTTGCAGCATCTCAGCATGCCTGTTATTCTTCTTTTTGCCTTTTCTATTGCTAACATTTTTTCATGTATTATGCATTGAAAAAGTGATGAAAACACCCATAAAAAAACAAATAAGCAACAGAGATACATATATGACCTTGCTGCTCTTCCTGTGTGTGAAGTAATTCCCCCCCTGCCCAAATTTCATCTGTCTCCCTCCCTGATAGTTCTATGTGATTCAAAATAAAATCTATTCCACTGCCCGCACTTGGAAACACACGTCTCAGAAGAAAAACAAGAAACCCTTCATGAATGCCAACAAGCTTGAAAAGATTATTTCAGATGGCAGTGTGCGCAACTTAAGGCGCACTTAAAAATTCCTTCTTCGAAATCCCAGGAGAGAAATCCTCCTCATTTCACCTGTTGTCTCCTTTTCACTAAATTAAAGGAACACTTGCACAAGCCACAGCACCCAGGTAGTGACTCATAGGGCATTTGCCAACTGTAGCTGCTGGACAAAGATGAAAGAGCAAATGTGAATGGCATCTAGAAGGGAGCTGGAAGGTCCATGCAGACCGTGGAGAATGGAAGCAGTCTTTTCTTTTTAAAAATATTTAAGATAATCCATAACATCTCTTGAACTGGATACGTGACCACTTGGATGGAACCCTACAGGTTCTTGAAGTGAAAAGTCCAATGAGAAGTCATTAAGGACTCACTATGGCTCACTATCTTCACCTGAAGCTTTGCCATCTCCTACGGCTGGAGGGTTGATAAAACATTGTTTAGGGACAAGAAGAGAAAAAGAGATGGATGTTGGAAGACAGCAAGGCAGAAACGGCCTCCCTTTTTGCCAGCTGACCATTTAAAATGCAATGCGATGGGACAGCCCATCTGAAACATGATCTGTTCCTGAGCTCAGGCGTGTGTTTGCTTGTTTGTTTGTTTGATTGATTGTTTTAACAGAAACCATTATTTGAAAAAGAGAATAAATTTATCCAGGGTGGCAGTAATTAGGCATAAGCTCTATTGCCTGGGTGGTGGATGGCTGCGTTGGATGAACATTGAAGAGATGTTCATCTAGGTCTTCAGAAAAGATCAAGACAGTCAAACAGAGTCAAAGTGAAGGAACCCCAAGTGATGGAAAGAAGGTTTTCTGTTTCTGGGGAATACAGTTTTAATTTGCAGATTATTTCTGAAATATGTTACCCGAATTTGCTTTATTTATGTTTRTTATTTAGCTATTCATAATGGAAACTTCTCAGGTCATCTTTGTCTGTACAAACAAATGTTTGTACAGAGTGCAGTACAATGCAAATGTGATTTAGGTCTTCCAGCACTAACATATTACAAATAATACATAACTAGGGCCTTTTAAAAATCTAAAATTGTATCTCTGCCTTCCTCATATACGATGTCACATTGTTACTCCTTGTTTCTCTCCRTGTACTTTATGAATGCTTTATGTCCCACTTGCATTACTTTATTGACTCTAATTATATGCTTTCTGTATGAGGGAGGCTATCAGCAGAGGATTCCCAAAGCTGGGTGCAAGATTTTTTTTGTGTTTTAGAATAAGCACTAGCAGGTTTGCCCTGCCTCAGTGCAACTGCAAAACGTTAATGAAGGTTCTAGATCAGGCCCTGCGCAGGGATTATGTTTTATGCATGAGGTCCCTGCTCATCCAAGACACATCAAAGGTGCATCACTGCCCACTGATAARCACTGATAAACACCCTCATTTGAAAGCTCTCTCATAACCTGTTGCTCTCGTCTCTCCTGAAGGTCTCTGAGCAAACAACCCTTCTCCTGGGAGATGCTGCAGTCCAAAGCCAGGTCACTGGCTCTSTTTCTGGCAGCAGCAGTGGCACTTAAGGTACATTGCTATTCAGGCCTCCTTCAGTGGGTGAGAATTTTCCTGCTCCTTATTCTGTGCTTTTTTGGAGATATAGGGGCATGATGAGGTCCTGAAATTAATGGAGACCGCCCTTATTAAATGAGTAGTTGCTCGCACTGTTGTAAAAGAATTTATGGAAGATCACAGCAGTTCAGCTCACAACGGCTTAAAGTACATTGAGAGGCTAATCATACACTGCCTGAGTGCTGTGTGGAGACTGCTGAATTAATCAGGTGCTTTGGCYTATGAAACACTGCAAAAAGAAAAAGGAAGGAAAAGGAAGAAAAAGAACCCAAAAGCAAAGGGAAGCTTGTCTGCTCACTGAATTGCCTGCAAGTGAAATGGTGCCCAGGGACCCCTTCAACAGCAGTCAGCAAAAGAAGTGACCTTCATTACGAGAGTGCTGACCGGGCACTTCCCAGGGTCTGCTTACCAGCCAAAGAAATCTCAGACAAAACGGTGTGCCTGGAGTAAGCAGCGGGGCCTAGGCTGCAAATGGACAGGCTGGGAAGAGGGATCCTGGCAGTGTCCCATTTGGGGCTGTAAGGGACAGAAGGGTTTGAGCTCGRTTGCTGACTGCCTGGCACATTATTTACTCGATTTGGTCCCCCATTCCAAAAGGGAATAATAATAAAAGTGGAAAATGGGCACAATAAATCTCCTTTTCTCACAGCTTCTGTCATACCTTTTGAGCTTGTGAGCACTTTGGTGTAGGAACTATCTCTTGATATAAATATATTTGGCCTGGGCATGTGCATGGGGACACTGCAGAAAYGTTGTGCTATAGTGTTAAGTAATAACTAATTGATAATACTTGCTAGACCGTGATTGTAAAGCTGGTATAGCGTGACATATTTATTCCTCTCTAGCTACTGGCATTGCAAAGAGCATATTGGCGTGGAAACAGGCAGCAGAGGCTCTGGTGCRACGCTTTCTGGGACCGTTCTCCTGATTCTGTCCGTTCAGGTAGGCAGCACACTAATTGCTTCTAGTAAAGTGAATTATTCCTAACGTGTCCGTATGGGGGTGCCTGGGAAGCTGCTTTGAAAGATTYGCTGCAGAGTAGCTTATTTTGTCCGACCTGCTGCAGTCGGTTCCCCAAGGCAYGTTAGTGGGACCGTCTGTCAGGACGCTCTAATAGAAATGCCAAGCTCACTGGAGCTGGCTGGCAAAGAGAATCTTGGGATCTCCTGGGAAATCACAGGGTTTTGTTCAGATCATTGACTGGAACAAAGCAAATAAATCCACAGGTTCTTGTCATACATTTATTTCCCCACTTTCCATTACACGCTGACATTCAACATCATGCAGCAGCTGCTTTGGGAAAACTAAGTGACACGCTCTCCTTCCTCCTTAGCTTCATGGAACTCCTCTGCCCTTGTAGCAAGAGCTTTTCTGACTCCTTCGGTCATGGGAGATGATAGACCCTGCACAAAACATCTAGAATGAGCAGGGACAACATCCACTTCTTTGCTCTTCAAGTCCATTGCAGCTCACTGCACCTCCACACTTATGTGCATCTGCACAGAGCATCTCTGCTGTGGCTGAAACCTCTGCTGCTGCATGACGCTTCCACACGCATCCCTCTGCGGATTTGGGAGGGCCGGAGGGTAAGTGTTCATGTATCCTAACTTTATTGAAAGCATTTTATGGGATGCCTATCACTCAACTTGGTCTAAGGCATGTAGTTTAAAAGTGGTTCCTGGATATACTCAACAGCATGAGAAGGATGCTMCTAGAGAAAATTGTAATTTTTTCTTTCTTAGATATGTTGCTTAGAATAGGATGAATCAAATATAAACAACACCCTTGTTCAGTTGTTTCAGAAAGCCATATAGTTAGTTCAGACCCATCCAGTGTGAGAGATCTTACCCTGGAGACCTTACAGATTAGACAGCAGAATAATTGTTGGGATGTGATGAAGATCACAATGAACATTGCCATACAGCAACAAGTCTAAACCCTGCTCCTCAAAGATGTATTTGGATGTCTAACTCCCACTGAAGAGAGGTGTCCTAAAAGGCTTGGTGGAAACAGATAGATTTACAAAAAGATCAAGATTAGACAGAGAGCTAGGTTTGCTTTCCTTTGATCTGTAATTCCCTTCATTTTTTAAGAATAAAGCAGGGATGGAGGGCAGAAGGCCTTCTCAGTCTCACACCATATTTCACTGCCAAGTGCTGCCTGCAGACAGCAGAAAACCWGAGCATCCACTTTCAGGTGAGCTGTCATGGGGATGTCCAGGTGTGCCAGGGCAGGAATTAGAGTAGGAACTTGTTTGCAGTGTTAAGAGATTTACTGCTTGGAGATAAGCAGAACTCCCCCAAACCTCCCCAAATATAAGCCAAAACCGTGCTGTGCTTTCTAAGGAATTCAAAGTTTTATTTTTGACCTTTCCTATTTATCACTACAAACCTAACATTTTAGAAACAATGGAAAATTGATAAGACTGAACTAAACAAAGTCATACTGGATCCCAAGATCTTGTCAGTGTTCAAGACCTATTCATTAGACAGCATCTTCTTTCATTGACTCATAGTCCCTGGACTCATCATGGTACACCCATTAACATGGAAGAGCAGATGTCATTGTGGACGCAATGACTTGGTGACACATGCAAGAATCCTACGTTCCTTGTTCTCCTTCTGCTAACCTGTCTCTTTCTCAAATAGTTCATGGTTTGTAAGCCCCCTAAGTGCTCAGAGAGCACCTAGAACCAATAATACTATTAGCATGAACCCTCTTAATAATCTTGTGTAAATACTGGGGTCAATGCTATAATGGAAAATGAGGMGGTTTATGATTTCCAACTACCAGCTTTTTTGTCACCATATTGTTTTATTATTGATCTTGTTGTAACCTTTGATGTTCTATCTGATGAACGAATAGTTTGCCACTAATTTCCTACARTCAGTGACAATATTAAGGGATTTGAAAGATGCACACAAAACAAATTTTGAACAATATAGGACTTGGTTCATTTGTATATTATGCACCAAGAAATAGCATCAACTGCCCTAAACTAGTGAGTACATAAGCCAGTTAATCCACTGAGACATTATTGTGATAGGTGCGTTGATGAAAGGAACCCAGGTTCGGCATAATGCAGCACGTGGAAGGAATGTCTCCTGCAAGGGATCACAGTGCTGGGGGCCTCAGCCTTCCTWGCAGATGGGTTCGTACAATCTTGGTCATGGCTCCAGCTGCCAATGATGTTTCAGTTTTGTTTGACTTCCAGTTTGTTGCCTGCCAAATCCCAAATAAATGCATATGAAAAATGTTCATAGAATCATAGAATGCCSAAGGTTGGAAGGGACCTCAGAGGTCATCGAGTCCAACCCCCCTGCTCACGCAGGGTCACCTAGAGCACGTGGCACAGGGCTGCATCCAAGCGGGTTAAACAGTTTGCAAAGTGGAACAGTAGGGCATTAACTAGGTCAACTAGGATTGAATTGAGACCAGTGAGTGGTCATCATCCTCAAGCAGCAGATTTGCTTTACTGWTAAAGCATTAGCGCTTGTGTTTCCCATTATAATGTGTGGGAACAAACAGCCTTACAGGATAGGCACTAGCATATCTGCTAGGGTATTTTGTACCCATGAAAATGAAAACAAGATCTTGATAAAATTCCATTTTTCCACATAAATCAGCTACCTGATAACTGCATGTGATTGCAATAAATCTCCAGTGAGGAATGATGGATGTAACAATAGAAAAGAAAAGCTGCTAGAGCCAAACTTTGTTGTACTGACAGCCTTTGCAGAATGTAATTGTTAATAGCTGCCAAAAGCCATGAGATTATGTTCAGCTCATGAATTTGTTCTCCTGCTCTAATGCATCTTGTGATGTAGCTCTGATTGGTGTTATCCAGTGCCATGCTGAGAGAAGAGAGGAGGTATCTGCTGAATTCACTTAAGAATTCAGCAACTCAGTTTATTTCAGAATTTATTTTTTTACCACAGAGCAAATAGATACTCCTTCACTTTATAAACCATAAAAATGTTTCAGCATATCTCTAGGGCTAAAACTGAAGCGTGCTGAATTCTTAGCTAAAGGACAAGGAATTCAGGTGGCCAATGTTCTTCATTGACAGCTGGCCAGAGACTGTGACCATTCTTGCAGCAAAAACATGGAATCAGCGGCAGTTYAAGAGGTGCCCAAGTGCATCACCTTGACTGTAAGCAGGATGGTGCTAAGGGTGGCAGGGACAAAGCACTGGCACTTCCCATGTGTTATGACACATGAACCACATGTAGCAAAATCAACTTTATTCCAACATGTGGATCTTTTAAAAGGACACGGTTACTGTAATTGCATAATGGACTAACTGTCTCATTCTTTGAAAATTAGCATTCAAAGCCATTATTTACAGAGACAATACAGCCATTTTGTTCCAGGATGAGCRAGAAGAGGAGCAAGGCAGATTAATGAGGGCTTTCTGACGGGTCAAGGCACAACAGTAAGCTGATGAACTTAAAATTACTAGGGAAGTAAAATTGCCTGCAAAGTTTGCTGGAGGTCTCCTGAGAAAAATTAAYGTGACGAAGAAACTGCAGAGGAGGGAACAATTACTGGAGACAGGAGTGAGGCGCTCAGGTGTGGGAGGTACGGGGGAAAAATGAACCCAGTAGATGATATGTCCTTGAGAAATCAAATACCTGGTACTGCCCTTCCTCTGAAAAAGGACATAAATAATGGTTTGCCTCTGGGAGAAGAGGGGTCCGAGCTGCACCAGCAGTGACATCAGCCCATTCTGCCCCATCCAGACATCTCTCTGCTGCCGCGGAGGGTGCACAGGTCTACCTGTGAAGATCTGGCTGGAGAGCAGGCAAACGCAGCTGATGCGGAGCACAGATTCAGACCAGGGTGCACGGAATGGCTAGAGTCAAGTTGAGCTGCTAGATATTCTGATCTAAAGCACAAATATCTTGAAAACATGCATAATAATGTCAGTGGTGTGAGCTAGTGGGAAAGACCAACATATGCTCTACAGGACTGAGGGAAGTGGCCTGAAGTACAGTGATTCCCTGTAGCCTGAGAAACAAAACTCACAGCTTCAGGTGAAAAAATTGTTACCAAAAAAGTAATGAATTGGTCAATTAAAATGTRATGCTAACTGCTGGACGTGAAGGAGAGAGGTTGAAGAAATGTTACACTAGATTTACAGACTCTGTGTTGCAGACATGCACATCTTGATCTTGGGCAGAAATGATTGGAGAAAGCTTATTTCTGATGAGGCATCATTTTGCAGTTTTTGCATGGGCTGCTTGAGTAGAACATGCCCAGAATTTGCTTTTCTGGCTTCGTTAGAAGGAACTCAGCACAGCTGAATCATCATCCCCAACGTGCAGAAGGTGCAGGGCTGTCTTTATGGTCTTGGACATTTGTGTAGATGCTTTCTGTGAGCTTGCCTAGGTGTATGCAGATGTTTGAGGCGTTGTGTTCAGTTCTCATTTGTGGCATTTCRGTAAGCAGAACTCATCAGATTTCATATTTACACACTTTATTTGATGCTTCATAAACAGCATCTTTTACCAAAATAAATGATAGGGAGAATTGTACCAGTATAAAACTTTAGAGTTCCTCCATTCCTTTTGAAGAAGTTAATTCGGATTTATATCACCGTCACTGCTGAGGGGAAATTGTGGCCAACAACAAGTATGCGGCAATTTTATGCTGTGAAAGGAAGTGTTCTGATAAAAACTTATGTTACTTTATGCTGAGTAATCTTGGCTATTAAAAAAAAAAGAAGTAGAAATAAATAAGATTTTGAAAGTAATTTCTGCCTGATGAGCACCAACRGTTCTGGAATATCTTATGAAGTAATTAAACACATATTAAATCATAAGGTTCAATGCAAAAGACCTAGCATTATAACTGCCCATATGTTGTGCTTCTGCATTATCAAAATTTTATTGTTAATTCCAACTTTTAAAGCTCTTGGCCTCTGCAGAGTCTGCCTAGCTTGTCCCCTTTGCCTGGTTACTTGCTGCCATTGGAGACCAGCTGCCAAGAGATGGGACATCAGTTCCTCAAGCACAGCTGGGAGCAGGTGGGAACTGAGATGTAGGATGTCAACACAGCCTTTTGCTAATCAGTAGCTGCTGGTCTCTCCAAGATAGAAAGCAAATACCTCAAAATTAATTGCTGGAAGCTGACCTTAATGCCTGGAGCGGGGGAAAAAATSAAAGGGAGAGGATATTTATAAAAAAGTCAAACTTGTCCGTGAGTAGTAACCCATACAGAACCTCTTCTTTCTATGAAGATTAACTCAATAACGTCTTCCTTGGTAGCAGGGAATTCGCAGTTGAGTTCTTAAGGCGAATACATAAAGTTTGCCTTTGCTAGATAATGAAGTAGTGCCAAATGCAGGTTTTGCATTTCCTGTTTTCTCGTCCCATTTGTTAGCTGGCAGCATCTCCTCTTAGGAAGTGAGGAAGGAGAAGAAAAGTAATTGGGAAAGCAGTTTTTAATACCCAGGGTTGGATATATTAAGACTTATAGTTCTCCCTACCTAAATAAGAATCGTGGCCCGTATGACATGCTGCAGACCTGGAAGAAGAGGTAGGTTTTGGAAGCTGCGACTCAGGAGGGCCAAAATGCCAAGAGTGCAGGGTCAGGAAAGTTTGCGTGCGTTACAGCTTGTGTTGTTCTGCAGTCTCAAACACAAAATCTTTTTAGGAGAGTTTTTGTGTGTGTGTGTATTTATATATATATATATATGTATATATATATATATATAAAAGGGCATTTCCTTTGTCTCACTCATAAAGCTGTCTTTAAATCCTTTCTTTTACTGTTCTTTCTCTGACCTCCCCCCCAAAAAAATTATCCTTTAAAATTTTACAATTTTTATGCAAAGGATTTTTAAAGCAGATTTTTTTTTTTTAATTAGCTTCTGCTCCCCTCATAGTTTCCGTTTTGGTCMTGCAGAAAAATTTGAAACTGCAGTGCAGCGCAATCCACCCTGGTGGAGCCAGRCCTCTCTGGGGAGCTCTTGTGCTTCCTCCTTGGGCTCTACGTGGAGATCTCCGACCTACATTACTGCAGCCTCACACAGAGTGTTGCCCCATGCAGAACGGGCAAGTTTCTTTGCAATCTAGAATAATTGTCTTACAGCAAAGCAAGGCATCTCATGCTTGCCAGACACAAACATCCTGATTTCAAATGGTTCTTAAATAAGTAGTAAAAGAGAATATTAATTGCACAATGCTACTGAGTGCAAATATGTGTTTGTGGGCARATGCCATTCTTCTTTACGTAAGTCAGAAAAAAAACCACAGGATACAGGTTGTGGCAGTAATGACTAAATAAGGAGGGAACCGTGCTGATTAGGAAAAAAAAAGGCAGTAAAAATCTTTGCAGTCATCAGTAATACCAATAGAAAAAAAACTTGATAGATAAAAAGTGAGAAAATTCTCAACATTACAGTTGAAAACTTCACCARTGTTCTGCACTGTTCCTTAGATGAGCCAAGATCGATTTTCTTGAGGCCATATTCTCCCTCCAAGGAAAATAGCTGTTGACAAGAATTTCAATTTAAAGGATGAATTTTCATTCCAATAATAATATTTGAACAATTTCCAAATGATGAAAAGAAAATAATTTAAAATAAGCCTGAATATGACAGTGAACAAAAATATTCTTTACCATATTTGATGAGTTCTAAATACTTAATTCTTGTAGACTTTTTTTCATGTGCTAAAAGGGAACTAAGTAGAAGCCTAAGGCAAAAGAGCTTCTCATCTTAGTACAGCAATTTTATTATGAGCAATTTTGTGCTGCTCATCTATAGGGCATAATGAACGCTGGCTACTTGTCGACCGTGCAGCAAAGCTGTCGTGTTCATTACTAGTTTTGATGCTTTTTGTTTCTGCAGCTGATTAGACCTGTTTTTTGGACTGGGTCATCTTACATTTGCAGCACCTGGACTAGCTGTGGGACAGCATCTTCTTTATCTCATTACCCCCGGAAGAGATGGAGCAGTGCTGGGAATTTGGGCTGGTGCAGGTAGGAGGGTTGTGCTCCTCCAGGTTACTGGGTCATGGGTGGCCTCCTTTCCCCAGATGTTTCCCCACGGCTGCAGCCCTCGTTGCAGAGTTTGCAGCTCTGCCTCTCTCCCCGTGCGCCCCAGGGAGCAGGGCAGGGTCTGCTGGGCAGGGCAGGTCGGCACCTTCTGCTTCTGTGTGCAGCATGCATTTAAAGGCCGAATCCTGGAGTGCTTTAACATCTTTCCCCTCATTAGGAAATAATGCAGCTGGTTTACACCATAGGCTCCCTAATTGCATCCTCCTGGGGAAACATTTACAACAGAGTTGTAATTTTCAGGCAACCTCAGGAAAGCCCTGTTGTTTCTGACAGTTCCCTCAGGACACTTCATTCCTGCCACGGGGAAGGGAGAGAAAAATCACATTTACCAGCTCTGTTAGGGAAAAGACTTTTAATCAACAGATTTTCATCAAAGAGGTAGGTAGGATAAACCACGTAACTGATGTATTTCCTTTCATGCCGAGGTCTAGGTAATGCCAGCAAGGCAGTACGGAAACCAAGGAGGACAGGAAAACATTAATATTGACAATTACAAAAGTTATTCCAAAGCAGAGAAGAACAGTGGAGCAAAAGCAGCTGCTTAGGCTCATATTGGATCATCACTAACAGCACAGGGAAATTATGTCTTCTCTGCATTTCATTAGCTATGACTTTAATAGTAAGCACTTAGATATGATGTGAACAAGATCTTGGATCCCATGGAACCTGCACGGCTCCAGCCCTGGAATAACGTGGTCCTGGCGTGGACTTCATAGCCAGGGTGCCGCAGGGGTAGGAGCCTCTTCCATCCGCCTCGCTTTGGACTTCCCAGCCCAAATGTCCAAGCATATAATTGCCCACCAGGTCCCTGACASTGCTGTCAGGATCTTATTACTCTGTAAGCTTTCTAGAAGACTGCAACAAGCAAAATCATCTCCTCAGAAACATTTTTGTTTGGCTAGTGCCAGGATACTGCAGTTCCCATGCAGCAAAAACGCTTGCACATTTCCTCCCCTGGCCATGGAGACAGTTGAGCCTCCTCCCTGTCTCCATTTGTGACTGTGCGGTCTTCTACAAATACCTTTCATGGGATATTCGTGGAAAATAGGTCCAACCCTGGAAAAACTTCATCTCTTGCTAAAATAAACTTAGGCACTTTTTGTGTTGGAGTCGTCCTTAATCCAGTATCTGTACAGAAATGGTATCTTCACAATGGTTTCCTGGTGACTTCTTTTCTGGACACGCATGCAGTCAGTCTCTTTATATTACAAAAATAATGTATTTTTTTTCAGAGTTTATGAGATCATCTCTTGCATCTGTTCGTATGTGCTATACTTTAAAGGAACATACCATTAGTATATGAATGCATTTTAATCTTTGCTTACAGAAATTGCCAAAATCAAATGGACTCAAAAGTAGCAGTTACATTTGGAAAAAACATTTATCAATAAGACAGAGACGCAGCTGCCTACTTCTGGATTTTGTGATTTTCACATTTCTTRGAAAAAGAAAGACCCCAATGATCCTTGAGTGTTACAGGGAACGAATGTAGCTTTTCTTGGGTGTTTAAACAGCAAGCATATGTAAAATTACCTGTGCTGAACAGAGAAAAWTCTGTAATTGCATTCAGTGATATCAATGTAACATGCTAATATCCATAGCTTGTTTCATATGTCTTCTCTTTAAAGAAGTTAGCATTGTAGTCCTACTGGGGATCAAATCTCATGGGAGCAAAGAAATGTGAACTTTATTTTCTGTTATCGCTGTTATTTTGCAATTTATTTCTTGTTAGAAACCTCAGAAATTTTACCCCTGAAGATCTATTGTTCTTGAATTTCTTAAGGGTTTTTTTTTTTTTTCCATAGCCTCCTCAGAGACTCCCTTCTCTGTCAAGGCTGCATTCTAAGCTCCCRTGAAAAGTGACTTGGATAAAGCAGTTTTGCATAGAATTTTAAATGGAAAGGCTAATACAAAATCCCTTATTCACTTTCCAATTCCTTGACATCCTTCAATCAATTCATTTCCCCTTCCTTATCTAGAGGTCCCTTAGTCATCCAGTATATTTTCTTGTCAGTAGATTTTTTTTTTTTTTTAAATCATCTTTTTTTCACAACTGTTTGTGACATATAGGAAGATTTGAACAATGTTAGGTTGTTTTGGTGACCAGGGTATTACTGTATATCAAATGGGCCGGCACRCTCGGTCGTAGTTGTGTTCTTGCAGAGGGGCACTGGAGGGCTTGCAAATTGGCTTGGTCGCTCTCTCTGCAAGCAAAACTAAGTTGAATTTCCTCAAATGCCCTAGTTAAGACATCACACATCAGCAGTTATAGCAGATGACCCGAAGCAACATGAGTGTGTATTTCATTTCTGAGTACAAAATCTGGCTGTGTATTTTCTACATTTGCTGTTGAGACATGATAGACAACAAACAGCTCAATAGTGGCTCCCTTTCAATTTGATGGGATATTTCCCATTGAAATCCCTTTCAATTTGATGGGATATTCTTTTTTTCACAATTCTGTATTATTTCTGTGAAGAGCATGGTCCAAGTTCATCCCTCGTACAGCCAACATTACCTCCTCCTGCTATGGGAGCATCCCCTGTTGTACATATCTATATAATCAGGTGCCTAACATTGGGTTAACAATCCAGGAATAAACATGATAGAGTTACATTTCCTCTGGGTAAATGGCTAAAAAAATTAATGGATAAAACAAAAATTGAAACTTTACACTGTTCCTAAAAGTGCGCTTGTATAAATTAAATTTATCTTTTCCATAAAGTTGTGATTCTGATGAAAATAATATTGAAACTAGAGTCTTTTAAGATAGAAACTTTGATTGCAAAGATATTTTAAAGTATGTAGTGATTTATTTTTGTTGTTGAAGGTTGAACCACGTATCTTTGCATTGCGTAAATCTKCCATAAATATTAGATTATGTAATATTCTTTAATATTCATTGTATTAGAAAAAAGATATAATCTACCCGTTTGACTATTATTACAATGTGAATTATATGCAATCCCCCTCTCTGTTTTTATTATGCTCCTTTTGTACTTAAGCCATACAAAATTTAATAAATCCTTGCAGGACTTAATAAAGAGTAGAAGATTTATATATGTACTAAGCCATTCATTTAGTCTTCATAGCCTTATTGAATTTATTTTCATCGGAATCCGCGTCACCTGCTAGTTATCATATTTATTGCACTCTCTCCATTGCCTCGCAAAGCACGTATACGTGAAACGTTCCTGGAAGAAGCTCTGTGCAGATGTTGCATTAATTGGGTGAACGTAACAAAACCATCTGATCAGCCAAGACGTTTGACTCCAAGTCATTGAGAGGCTGCGAGTTCAAGTTCTCCTTGTCCATCATGTGACAGTTTCCTAGAAAGCTCCGTTACCTGCTCCTTTTTTTCCCCAAATAAATGCCTACTATTTCRGGCAATAACTAGAAAGCTGCTCAGATTTTAGCATGAAACTATTGTTGCACTTACGCAGTAAATAGCTTAYTTGTGGCAATTTAAACCTAATTTGTCATCCCTTCATTCCCAGCACATTCTGCTGTCCAGGACTTTCCAGGAAGCCAGAGCTTTCCATCTGAAACCACTTAGCAGAGACCCAGCCTCTGCAGTGCTGCCCTGGCACCTCCGCTGGAAGCTGAAGAGCATGTCCAGAGATTAATAGGCATGAAATCCCTGGAGACTGTAGCCTGAAGAGCGCCTGCGAGAGCCGCTCTGCTTTGGCAGTGCCAGTATCTCCCCTCGGAAATGGGAACCGGAGGCACAAGCTAAGGGACTGTCCATTTGTTCTGCTGTGATTTTGTCAAATGGGCTTCTACTATCCAGACAGCTGATGTCTTCCAGTTTGCTCTGTACGTGATGATGTGGGCTATAGAAAAGGGAAAAGAAAAAAAAAAAAAGAGAGGGATTTAAAATTAAAGGGAGCAGCGTGGAGTTTGTCTGCTCCGCAACTGGAGTTGTGCTTTGTACRTGTGTTAGGCATGGGTTAGGAAGAGCGAGTGGAGAGCAATGTGTAGGAGGAAACATCTGGGCAACACTKTTTTTCTTTCTTTTTTTTTTTTTTTCCTTATTTCCAGTGCCTGTTCTCTCAGATGAGGTTTGGCATATACACAATACTGGATATATTAGGATACAAGCATATAAAAACAGATATATTATTACAAGCATATAAGAACAGTCATGGTATTCCTACCAGGGCTAGGTTTGAGTTAGCAACCACCCCGTGCAGACAGTCAGGTAAGTGCTGCCCTGCTGTCCTGCAAAAGCCCCTGAGGAACTGTAGGATCACATTTCCATTAGATATGAAATAGCTCTAAAACAAAKACTGACCACACAAATTTGATGCAACCAGGGCAGGTCAGGTCATGGACTGTGTAAAAWTTTTTTTTACCTTGATATTGCTTACCTGTATTATCCAAAAATTGTACATTAAACATTTTGGGGAAATTTCTTGGAACATCTAGTTGAAGTGTATTTTTTAATATTGATATTCCACAGAGGTACTTATTTATTTATTTATTTATCTATTTATTTACTTATTTATCTATCTATTTATTTATTTATTTATTTATTTATTTATTTATTTATTTATTTATTTTGCTGCAATCCCACTTCAGGAAAAAGAAAGATTCAAAATACCAACCGAAGGAGTACCAGCAGAAACAGCGCAGAATATTGCTTGTTGTTGTAAAAAGGCAGTTTTATTTGAAGAAAATGCAACTGTCCTAACACAGTAGAGCTGCACATCTGTCTGAGCACTTATAAAACTGTTCCCGCGTCTTGGGGAGAGATTGCAGCATGCTCTRTTCACTGAAAGAGAACAAATATATACTGGAAAATTGCATTAGAATAGCCCAGATGGAGACTGTCAAAATATAAATCTTTGTAAGTTACTGATCTATAGCTCAGGGAAATAAGGAAACAAACAGCACATGTAGGCCACTGCTAATGAATCACATTACTCACAATGCTGTTAATGACTCAGGCATGGATACCTTGTGTAATTAAATTATAAGGAAGCGCAATTAAAGCAGATGGAGCTTGTCCGAATTTTAATGTGCTGCAGACTGCATTTCATACTCGAAAGAGGACTAATTGTTTTGTCGGGAAATTTATTCTGATCCTATTTTATAGATTATAATCCAGCATTTCTGATTATATCTTACTCGATAGCTGTGTTATACACACACCAGCCTCAGAGTTGTTCAAGTGCTGTTTCTTGGCATCTAGAWACACTCTGTTTTACATGGTCCCTGTGCTGAAGGAATGTCTAGATCTCTTCAGATCTTCTGTGCTTTACAGGCCACTGGAATCCACTTTGATAACTCTACATACAGCCCAGCAACTCCATGGAAAATATACCCTTTTTGTTCCCATGAGATTAAACAAGAAACACCTAACCTGAGGACTCGAGGAGAAATGATAAGTTAATATCATAAGAGGATATCTAGACTTACACTTAGAGTGTGAAAACCACCAATCAACCCAAGGTGACATAAGGAAAATTCTTACTGGAAACATAAGTTTGAGCTTCTGTTTATGGTCAGTATAGGAAATGTCAGCATCTAAAAGTATCCATCCTCAATGGCTTGCGGTCTGTGGAAAATGGAGAGGTTTATAAGAGGTCCGTAGTTAGATTCTTTAGGACTCATTTGTGTTGTGAAAGTGTTGAATTTTCCTTTGTGAAACCCTACATTTTTAATGCTAAAATGGGAAAATGGGCTCTGTATTGCCACTTAGAGGGTTATAATCTGCAAGTAGCAATGACTTGTGCAAAATGGCTTGGAGTTTTTTCCCCTAATATTTTTAATGTTCATTTAGTATCTTTAATCCTGTTAGAGTTTTGGATCCCACTGTCACCTTAGCTTCCACAGCCAGTCATTTCCCTTTTCAAACCTGAATTTATTTCCTTTGCCCCATTATCTTCATCGTAGTCCTCTCTCTTCTTTGAACTTGGCTGACTTTTCAGCCCTTGTTGAAATCATTAGATGTTTAGGCCAAACCTGATAAGACCATCTTGCAAGGTGACATGGTCAGCATGAAAATGCTGGATTTCCGCATTTTTTCTGCTTTACACTGTGCATAAGATTATGAACAGTTAAATTTCTCACCATGCAGAGAAGAAAGAAGTCATCTCGCCCACTTTATTTCCTATCTCAGTACAAGTCACAGTGACATAGGGAAGAAAAGATGCCCTAGAAAAGTCCACATTCAATGCCCATTGAAGTCAATGTACATTGTAACTCTCATATTTGCAGTTTGTGTAGTCAGTTTGAGAAGGGAATATTAAAAGAGCAGAGTTTATATATAGAATTATGAATAAATAAGGAATTATGAATAAAATTCTCAGCTGCCATCTGCAGTTCTACTTTTGGCTTCTAGAATTGGCATTTCATTAGAGAAGTAGGGAAAGGTTACACGAATGAACAGGTACCATTGCTTTTTGTTTTCTTTCTTAAGTAATAATTTATTATATTTTACAGTCAGCTACTGGATGTAAAATGTTTATGTCAGCAGACCATTTGCTGTAGCTCCCTAGCCCTGTCTGATAAAATGCAGCATAGTGCTGGTGCCTTCAACGGGTGCTTATTTACCCTAACTGATACTCTTGCTTGCAGATTTTGGGCAAGGCTGAGTATTGAAAACCTGCAGGAAACAGCASTGTTTTTCCTTTGCTCGTTGCAGTGTGTGTCGGACAGGGAAACATTCCTCACTGTCTTTGGCACAGAGCTTTTGTGGCGGGTTGTGCTGTACATTATATTAAACTGCTGGCTTTACATCATAAGCTAATGCAATGCAGAGATCCAGAGCTCCTGAATATAGACCTTATAATTCAGATGGCTCCTTAACTGGGCAAATTCCTAAATACCTGCAGCAGAAGGAAGATGCCAAATGCAGAGATGAATTATATATTTTGAATTATGGAGGCTCTCATTGTCAGTGACCTGAACAGGCATCATTGATATGATTGCTCTCCAGTGTGCCACATCAGCAAACAGGAGTCATCTGTGTGCATGTTTCTAAATCCAGAGGGAGAAATCCTGAGCTTTGGAGACTGCTCTGAAAGCCAATCTGCACCCCAAAATTAGAGTGGTTATGTAAGCTGGGTTGGGCTCAGCTGAGAGCCCTTGTGCTCTGTGCTGGGGCATGGAAAAGACACAGACATGTCCAAAACAGCTCAAGTCAATGGGCCTATACAGGGTGATACCTCTAAAGGCTTCAAGTTGCTATAGGCAAATACAAGTAGCCAAGATCCTGTATTTTATCCATCTTCATTCCTCTCCAAATTACATGAAGAACCCGCTGCTTTTATCCAGCCTGTGTGTTTAAAGGACAGCTCAGCCTCTTGTTCTCATTCTGTGCTCACTTACCTTCCAGGTGAAGTGACTTTAGGCAAGGAACTAATGGAGATTCGTGGATTCCAGCTGGGGCAGCAGGCTGCCAGATTGCTTCCTGTGGCTCTTGGATTACATTGCGGAGCAGTGACTTGCCAAAGCTTTCCCAGGATCTCTGAGCCAGCCTCTAAGGTAAGGACCACGCTGATTTAACGCCCTAGCCCAGGCCCAGCATCCTGTCACACCAGCACTGAGCCCCTTCCCAACCTCCAGAGCTCCTGGCTCTGAATTGCCTGGGCTGGACAGGGTGGCGAGGTTTCCATGTGCTGCAGCCATGGTGAGAAATGAACTTGCAAATAAAGAAGAAATGCAGTCCTATAAATCTGGGGAGGAAAGGCAGAGGAATATACCTCACACGTGCTTTGATTGTAGAATAAGCAATTCAGACAAAACACTTTTCTTCCAAGAGTAAAGCACTCAAAGAATAGGGGCAAGAATCGAGAAGCCTGCAAAGGTGCGAGCGGCGTCTGCCCAGCTCGGTGCCGACTGACGGGGCGCTCCCCAGCCGCCTCTCGCCGCAGCAGAACCGCGCTCCCCGCGAGCCTCTGAAGGGACAGCAGTCCGTCCGCCCGGCCGGCTCACCCCGCTGGGCATGCAGCTCTGCCTTACGCAGCACAGCAAACTGTCCTCGTGCCTGAGCAATTCTGTGTCGGGCTCTTCAGGGCAAGAGGAAATGCTCCTAGTTTCGGAGCTGTTTGATTTTTGCTTGTTGTATTTATTGTTTCATGTCATGCTAGTTTATTACCAGTGCATACTGTGCCTTGGAGTTGCTTTTCCGCACAGTTCATCTTCCCTGGGAATATGTTGCTCTGCTTCAATAACTTGTGGCCCAAAGCTTTGCTGATTTGAAGGCTCTTTTGTTATTGACTTCACTCTTAGCTGCATTTTTTCAACCAGGCCAATGCTCTGACTGCCTGATCATGCCTAAGTGCCTTCGAATCCAGTGCTGTTGCAGGGAAGAGGGTTTGTGGCTCTGTCATTCTGCACAGAGCTGAAAAGCTGCATTTATGCCTTTGCAGACTTCTTATTTTCTGCCCATATTCTTTGAGTGCAGTGTCTTTTGAAGAAAAATGCTTTTTAGATGGTGAGTCAAGAACTATAACTTCTTACCTTGCCTGAGTGATCTTTTTGTGCTTTTCTGTATTTATTGCTTCCCTTTGAGAATGGATAGAGCAGACATTCATTCAGGAAACTGCTTGTCATAGGAAATTGCAATATTAGCCTAAATGCCTAAAGTGTTCTGCATTTGTCCCAAGTGATACCTTGCTTTGCAAGTGACATGTCTCCCTGGGGCTGGCTACAGAGGAATGGTAAGTTCTGAAAAAGGTTTTCAGGAAAATTATCCCTTCCTGCCCAAACTGATTCTGCAAGTGGTTCAACCATTAATAAATAGACTTCTTGATGGTTTTAAAGGGCAAGTAGATGTCTTATTTGTATTAATTGCTTAAGACAAAACACAGCATGGGAGAAATAGTTGAGAGTTTAAATTTCTTCCTGATTATCCAAGTATTTATGCTTTGAMTGTGGCTCCTGCCCTTCCAGAATAGCGGGTGCACATGGGCTTCATGCAGCAGTCGGGGAACTCCAGGGCTGGCCCAGGGGAGGGTCCTTCTTGCCCAGGTGCTGTCTCGGGGCAGCAGGGTGTGCAGGCTCTGCCCCGCTGCAGCTCCTGCGCACGCAGCTGCGCGCGTGCCCTGCAGCAGCTCCTCGTTCCCCAGTCCAGACCCAAATAGCAAATGGAACTCCCCATTTCACATGACAGAACAGCCAYAAAGAAAAGCTTCCTCCACAAAAGCTGCACTCCTGGCTTACTGAAACCTGGCCATCTGCTTTCCGGCAGCTCAGCCAAGACTAGATGCAGCACTCAGATCCTAGCCCAGGTCAGAACACTGGTGTAGTCAGTGCTCATCAGTCTGCTGGTCTTACAAGTGAAATTCATCAGGAGTTTAAATTTTAAATTTTGTGTTTACATTTTTAATTTGTTTTTTGAAAAAAACTATTTCTTAATACAGCCAACCAATCAGCCAAAAAGTCCATTAAGGCTAGCAATTGGTTCCCAAACCAAAAATCATCACTATACTACACTGGCTGTGCTGAGCATAGGCTAATGAACAGAGTCTAAATTTAATTAGCTCAATTTGTATCCTGTATTATTGAATAAGGAAATTGTTACAGAAGAGCTCTAATCATTAAGAAAGGATAATTTTGTCTGCTTCCTGTGTGACTGCACTTTAGACTTGCTTAATCTAAATTTAGGCCGGAGTGTTTAGTTCATTGGAAACAACTGATGATCTGTAACGAGAGCGATGCCGGTGTTCAACTGCAGGCTCTTTGTGCCACATGTTTTAATTTCCTTTCGATCTCGGCCTCTTCTCCTGCAGTCTGGCCGCTCTGTCCGCAGCGCTCTCCAGCGTCAGCGCGTTGCCTGCTTGCAGCCTCGTGCTTGTGGGAATTACTGTGAAATAAAAATAGGCTTGGGCTTCTTCACATTCACCTGCTGTTACCAAGATGAAAACACGTGGGGAAGAAATTTAGAGTGGCAGAACACTTCTTTTTTTTTTTTTTAATTCAAAAAGATTGTTTTTATGGAAGTTGCGGGCCTCAGCTGAATTGTGAACCGGAGAAGAAGCATTAAACTTGCTAACATCTCCTGTGCTGCACAGCACTGTTAACCACCTCATACATGCACCAGGAGTCTAAAATTCTCTGATCAATTAAAGCAAATTGATTCAAGGTAGGATCATACGTTASCTTTTTTTTTCTAAATGTTTTCATGATTTAGATATCTTTAAATACTGTACCTAAATTGACAGGTATTTCCATGCTTGGTTTTCTTTAGTTATGTGAGATTTCCCTCACATACTGAGACTTCTCCTGTGACTAGAAAGGATTCGTTTTTATCTGCCTCCAACTTTTCCAGCTTATCAGGTTTTGGCTTTTGTTTTGTGTGTTTGAACAAAAATACTATTGGGCTCAGTAAGTGCTTCAATATTTTGTCTATAGTCTGTTCCAACCCAGATTTTAAATTCTGGAACCTCTTTAGGGCCGATGGCTCTGGCCCAGTGCTGCTCAGCGGCTGTTGAGCCACTTTGCTAAGGGAGTGTTTCTAAATCAATGGAGTGCAAACCAGAAATGTTCCCAGCCTCGGTTCTGCTCAAAAATCCCCTCCCTGGCCTGGCAAGATTGCTGAGAGATCTGACAGACTTGGTCAATGTCCAGACTTGGCCATTTCTGAGCTGCTCGGATGGAGGCAAGAGTAATTAATCTCTAGGCTGTAGGAAGGCTACCAGGGAGTCCTATTAGCGAGGAAGCCGCTTTGACTCCCCGCGATCAATAAGGCTTATTTGCAAGTGTTTAGAGAATATTATTTGCATTTGTGAAGGTAATGAAAAAACTATTGAATATTAATTAGCATTTTCTGGCTCTTCTTGGGAGAATTTTGATTCTGTCCAGAGATACATTATTCAGTGTATTTTGAGACAACACTGATCAAAATTCAGAGTAATTTCTGATGTTCAGAAAACACCTCCAACGCCTAGATTTCCATTAAAAAACCACTGCCACAAGTGATTATAGAAGTGTAAGAATGGATCTATTGTATTATAAATTGTTTTGTCATTTTAAATTTCTAGTAACCGCTGAGAAGAAAGATTAAATAAATAACATGGCTGATTTTGTTTTATGAAACCAAGATAAGGTTGTGGAAATGATTTTCCAACTGTACATATTATTTAGATAAATATATCAGCTTTTTCTCTCCTACATGCTCCAGAACAAATAATTACACTACATGTCCATGTAAGTGTTTTAAACAGAAAAATACACTATGTATTTTAACAACGGGGAATAATAAACATAGTAAGTCACAGCGATCACCTAATGTAAGATCACTCTTCATCTGATCAGAATGGGTGCACGCTGGCTTTTCATATAAGAAAGGGAAATAGAATAATACACTCGGGATCTGAAAAAAACTGTGCATGCTTGTGTTCACAGACAACTGTGAAGGGCCTTAATTGCAATGAGCATGATGAATGTGTAGATAGAATGGAGATATTCCAATTCTTCTAGCTATTCATTTCCTTGTTTCAGTCCAAGTATGGTTTTAAAGTGCACTTGGCTGTGCAGTCCAAGWGTTTTTTAATTTGCATTTTAAGTACATGTCCTAAAGCCTATGATATTTGTGCTGTCATTGTCTACAGAGTAAGAAAGAAACCCATTCTTTATCACTGGTCATTGAAAATGTTAAAATGCTGAAGACTAAAGCAGCATAAAGCAACCTTCCTATTTATTTCCATTTGGGGTGAAGGCAGTACAAGGTTGGTGCAGACTCCAATTAGGTGCCTTCCTCTACCAGGTTTTGGGGAGAAAAAGAAAAAGGGTGGGGGGAGTAAAGAAATCTGCATGAGGATGGAGCTGGGGCATGCAAGCTCCTTGGAGAAATGGAAAGCAAATGTACTACGGGAACTGGTGCRTGTGGACTGCAGAAAAGAAAGAGCAAAACCTTGCATTGCTCCTCTGCCATGATTTACAGAGGCCCTGGTATTCTCCATCTGGGTTTTAARTGCATTCCAAGTTGCAGAGTGTGTATAACCTGCACATGTGTCTAACACAATCCCAAATCAAATTGCGAGAGCTTTGGCACGTGATTGGAAATAGGTGCCCTGTCGATAGCGTGAAACGAATGGCTGCAGTTCTGCGTGCTTGGAGGAGGCTCTTGCTGCTCCCTGCCCTCGCGAGGAGGAGCAGCGCGGCTCCACACCATGYGTTGAGGTGCTGCCCGTGCAGCTCCCCGCTCGCGAGCAGCCCGTGCATCAGCTCCTGCAATGAAATTCCGGCCATGGAGCACCAGCGCTGGCGAGGAGCTGCAGTTCCCTAAACAGGCCTGTAAACRTGCTGCTGGGGATAAATTGGCCGTCAGTGTGAGGGAGCAGCAAAGCAAAATGTGTGATTACAGCTCGTTTTTATGTGCAAGGAAGCTGCTGAGACATTACTAAGAGCAGGAACAATGTTTTTGCACCCCATGCTTATCCGGCAGTTTTGTACCTATTTTATATTAGCTATTTTCAGGCAAATGTTCTCTGTCTGATACTTCTCACTTGGAAAGCTAATTTAAAAATAATCTTGACCTGGATTTTTTACAATAAAAAGCAGCACACATGCCGGGATATATTGTGATGTTAGTGCTATTTTGTCTCCCTTGCTTAAACACAGCTCATTTAAATGCTTCAACTTTAATCCACAGTAGAAGATGGATGGGCAGGCACTTAGATTTGGGGCTTTTGTGGATGGCAAGCTGAGTCTTCAGATGAAAGTGCTGCTGGAGGAGAGGACTCGCCTCCGGTGGAAGGTACTTCTGGTTGTGTGATTGCTGGGTTTTTAGTCCCTTTGGATGCAGCTTGGAAGGCACTTTTCAGATGCTTGACCATAGCCAAGGAAGCCAAGGCCATGCTCATGCCCTGGTCACCTCCCTACAGGAGATCCCGGAGGTCTACAGCAGCACAGGACACACAGGACATCACAGACCAGGAGAACTTTTGGGATGAGGATCAGCAGGAGTCTCCTCATGCAGACACCCAAGGGAAGTGAGCAATTCCAGTCTTGTACCCTTAGCCAAAACAGTAGTAACTGCCTGAACCCGCTTCCCCGGAGGGTGCTTTGCCTTACACAACTGACCATTTTTGAAGTCTGAGAGAAAAGGTCTCTTAGTGATGAGGGGAAGCAGTGTGCATGGAGGAGAGCTGGGATTGACACCGACCTGGTGCGCGGACAGATGAGGTGGAGTGGAGAGCAGAGCTGGAGAGTGSTGCTCCCCTTTGCAGGCATTTCTGAAGCTACTGCAGCAGTCTTCAAGTAAAATGACATTTAGGCTATGAAGTTCATACTTCAAAAAAAAAAAAAATCCCAAGGGTTTTATTAGGAACTGTACATATGAAATATTCCTCTGCGTCCTCATGGAACTTTTTCCATCATAACAACATCCAAAAATCCCCTTCCTGGCTAGGTTCAGTGCCAACCCCAAGCTCTTTCAGATGGCCAGGGAGGCTGCAGCAGCTCTGACAAGGTGAATGGCGA